TATGAACATTCGTTTAGTAGATTCTGATTTTTATATTATGGTAATTTATTAGGAATCAGCTAACTCTGGCATCAAAGTTTTTATATGGGATATCTAAAAACAAGGATATCTACGAAAGAATGGATCATTTTATAGATGAAGCAACCTAAAAAATGGCTAAAAAGATTGTATATATAACTACTCATTATATCACGTATGATTGACTTTGTACTAGTATGTATGACTCTATACTTGTATAGGTTTATTGTTATGGCTCATCTTATTATTATCTTTCAGGATGGTTATGCTACTAAATTTAAATCTGGTGAACTGGCAACCCACTATGATAAAGATCCATTGTTTTTAGCATTAAGAGCGAAAGAAAGACATGGTCAAGTTCGTGGGATTGGTAAATTTATGTTGCCATCAAAGATTTTTAGTAATCAACCTAAAACCCCTTAAATGACGAATGCACAATATAAAGCAATTATTGAGCAACAACAGTAAAGACTTGATGACCAAAAGCAATACATGAATGAGCAATAGTAATGACTCATAGCTTTAGAGGTGATGTTGGCAGTAATACAGCCTAGCATGCCTATGGGCTAGTTGGATAGCATCATCCACCTAGGACAAGCTTCCATTGCAATTCAGCTAGGAAACCTAACCTCCAATACCAGCCATAAAGTATGGTTTTGTTTATTCACTTAATATTTATTTATTTATTATATTTATTGATTTGGTTTTAATATTTATATTTCATTATATATTATAGCACAATGTTGGGACTCAAAGGATGACTTTTGCTCAAGCTGCCATTATTGATTTATCTAATTATTCACTTGATCATTTATCTGGAGAAATTGCATTAACGTTGAGTTTGAGGATGGGTTATTTGATGAGGATGAAGTTAAAAAATTTTGTAACCTGGATGAAATATCAACTACTGATATTGTTGCTTATATGAAGTTAGCTTATAAATATAAATATACAAAGTCAGTATGTATTAATCTATATTATGATATATTACTAACTATTATTGTTAATTGTTATCGTGTAGCTTCCTATATAAAGAGGTTAAGAAGAGACAAATGACCTATAGATTCATATTCATTGACTTGAATTTCATTAGTGAGCAGAGTGACACAGTCATTTTTCATGCTCGTCATGTGATTCAATGCAAGAAAAAATAGGTTGATTATTATTTGCTCCCGTATAATGTGATGTAAGTTATATTTATACAAATAATTATTCTAACCTTACCCAAATATGAAATGATGCCTAATCCGAGTATATCATTCTTATTATTTTGCAGTTATCATTGGCAGCTTATTGTGATTGATACCAATTCCTTTATGCCATATTTAATTTCGTTTAACCAACGACGATGCCTAACCTTGATATTAAAAATTTTATAAAAAGATATTACATGTTATTATATTATCTTTTGTTTCTTCATAATTACTTTTATTTTTATATTAAGTAATTTTTTTCTTTTCAATTTAGGTTAATATGTGCATTTGATAAGACAGCAAAGATAAATTGGGTGTCATTACTGGTAAATGTAAATTTTATTCTTTTATGTTGAGTTTGTTTAGATAAATATTTTGTAAACCCATTAAATTTATTATTCAGGTATCTTGTCAACCAAGATATATTGAATGGGAATATTATGTCCCTCATTTTATGAGGGAGATAGTTTTATATGATTTTATGACCACACCATTCAAGGTTAGTATTAATTTCATAAAATCGTTATATCTTTAAAAAAAAGCTAAATTATGTTCTTGTTTATTAACATTTACTTTTGATTTTTTTTTAGTGAGAGAGTAAAGAAAGCTTCACAATAGACGAATTTGATGAAGTTCATAAAGAGTGGTGTGAATATGTATTATCGTTTGCTAAACCTTGAGTTTGAAAATTATTGGTTGGGTGTAAATATATACATTTCATTTGTTATAATATTTTTAACATGCCATACTAAATGGATAATTTAAGTTTCTAGATTGGGGTATTGGTTTAATATTATTGGTTTATATTTGTTTTATATCAATTGGCAGCTTGTATGAATACACATATATTGAGTATGATTTTTTGAAAAAGTATATTTATATGACAATATTATCAGTTTTAAATTCGGATGTATGGTCAATTATTAAAATACTACAATATTCGTAATGTAAATTCTAAAATATAATTCATAGTGTCACATACCAAATGTTTTCTGGGCATAAACCTACAACTTACTTCAAATATTTTCTGGGTATAAATCTACAATTAACTTCACATATATAATTAAAGCAAATGTTTTTTGATGAGATTACTGAAGGCATTTTTAGTCAAAAAATACTTTGAATAATCCCTAGAACATGTTGAATGGGGTTATTGAAGGCGTTTCTAGCTAAAAACGCCTTTAATAATCCCCTCCATAATTTTTTGTATCGATTATTGAAGGCGTTTTTAACAAAAAACATCTTCAATAATTCTTCATAAAAATTTATTGAGTGAATTATTGAAGGCATTTTTGGCTAAAAAAACTTCAATAATCTCTTCCAAATTTTTTCAAAGGATTATTGAAGGTATTTTTTTGATAAAAATACCTTCAATAATCCCCTTAAAATTTTTTGTAAGGTTTATTAAAGGCATTTTTGGCTAAAAATACCTTCAATATTCTCTCTTCATAATTTTATGAATGGATTATTGAAGGTGTTTTTAGCTAGAAAATACCTTAAATAATCCTTTACAAATAATCTCTTGAAAACCCAAAAAAGCTAAAGGGAATGATCAAACCTATGACCTTATGGTTAACAGCCATATGATCTAACTAACAGAGCTACTTTAATTTTTAGAATTGAATGGTTTTATTTAAGAGGTGATTTATTGAAGGTATTTTTTTTTTATAAAAAATGCCTTCAGTAATCCTCTCCAATTTTTTAAGAGAATTATTAAAGGCGTTTCTGGTAAAAAAATACCTTCAATAATCGTCTTCATTTTTTATGAGGGGATTATTCAAAGCGTTGTCTACCAAAAATACCTTCAATAATCCTCTATCCATTTTTATAAAGGCATTATTCAAAGTGTTTTATACAAAAAACGTCTTCAATAATCACTTCAATTTTTTAGAGAGGATTATTCAAGGCGTTTTAGTCGATAAATGCTGCTAATTTTTTACTTTAGTGGCATTTATAAGTACAAACACTACTATTTGAATATTTAGTGGGGCTTTGATAAAAAACGCCTTAAGTTTTATAAAAACACGAAAGTTAACGACTTTTTTAAGTAAAACACTACTACAAAATTGTCACTAATCTTTCATTTCTTGTAGTGAGTGTTGAACAAATTGATTGCCTTTTTTAGGAGTTTACTAAAGTGATGCAATTTAATATTTTTTCTACATATCTTTTTGTATAAGGTAAAAAGTTTTTGAACTTAAAGTTTTCTTAAAAAGATTTCAAGGTTCAAGACATTAAAGACTTGAGACCTCTTTTCTTTTGGTTGAGTTTTAATGAATACATGCACTTATAAGTCAAAAGTAACCGTCATGACTTGCATATGGTACTTAGTGTTCTTGTTACAAAATATGAGCTTTTATCTAGTTTAATATAAAAATAACTCCAAAAAATAATATAATAAATAAATTTATCTAACTATATAATTAATTAATTAATTAATCATTAAAAATAGAATAAATACATAAATAAAAAAAATTTTACTATCAAATAAATTATTAGTAAGTGGAAAAAATAAACATGCTCATAATTTATATAAGTTAACAAAAATAGATAATAAGATAAATATTAAGTAAATAAATATTAGTAAATTTTTTTTTCATATGAGTAAATGTATTATTATTTTTAAATAACTATTATTTTAATATAAAGATTTTCATATGAATAAATACATTAAAAAGTTAACAAATATTGAGTAAATAATAATGAAATACTTAATACAACAAATAATTTCGTTATTATTGTTCTTTTCATTTGATTGGAATCAATTTTATCGTATATCTAAATAAATACTAATATTGTTAACCGTCAAATAAAAAATTAATATTATGAAACAAGAGGGAATTTTGTCTTTTTCTATTTTATATAGGAAGGTTTATGTATTTCATGGGTCAAAATATGGTGTGGAATTGAACTAAGATATTGTTCGGTATCATTTTTATGATCATCATAATAATTTAATTATTGAAGTGATATTATTATAAAGGACATTTTACCACTCATAATTTGAAATTATTTTATTTAATTAACAATCATTAGTTTTGAGAAATTAAAAATCATTGCCTTTATTATTACTAAAAATCAAACATTATTTTATTTGAAAGTATAAAAATAACCATACATATAAGTTAATGATTTGAAATTGTTTAAAAATAATAATTTGTAAAATATTAATAATATTTTATTTATTTTATAATAATTAATGATTAAATTATTAAATTAATAGATATATTTATGGATCAATTAACTAATTTTTATAATATAAATTATGTAAAGAATTTGAATTAAAAAATAAAAACAAACTATTAAAATCATAACATAAGAAAAACGTAAATGTTAATTTATATATAAAAAATTTAAAAAAATTAAAAGAAACATATAATTTTGAATTTGTTATAATAAATATTAATTTAAACATATTAAAATTTATAATATAATAGTAATATAATTTTGAGAGAAAATAAATATTTAATTCAAATATTAAATGAATAATATTGTATATTATTAAGTTTACATATTACTTGATTATAAGAAGTTTTCCATTACTTTTCCAAGCAGTGGTTAGATTATTTTTTATAATCTAAAGTCTTCATCACATAAAATCATTAATAATTTATTAAATACGATAACTTAATTATCATATATAAGTTATCGTATTTTTTTAAAGTTATCATTCGTATCAAATACAAACACCACCGATAATTAAAAAAAAAAAAATGCCAAGCTGATTCGGACGTGACAATTGATGGGGACGAGTGTACAAAATCTTGGTACACTAGGGTTCGTTTTTGTTTGTTTGTTTGTTGGTAGTAATTTTACAAGATGACCGCACAAGATCTTGTTACAATGTCTGGATTTTGCTGCCTCTACCTCTTCGCTCTTTTGAGTTGAGTCTTACTTAAGTTCTAACACTAAGACTAAACACTATAGACAGAGCGTATATCCCTCCGTCCAAGATCAAGATGATGAAACTATCGCGCTCTTTGCTCTCCAGGTTCTTTTTTTTTTTTTTTTTCATTTTCTGAAAAGCTTACATTAAAAAAGCCTCATTATTTTTTCCTTTTTGTGTGTGTGTGGATATTTTAAGAATTTATGGTGCTTAAGAAAGCAGAATCAAGTTGTTGTATATCCTTTGTTCAGTTTGTTTTAGATCTTATGTCTCCTTTGTTCATTTTGTTTGGTAGTTTCAAAAACCTAACCTTTCTCAACCAAAAAACAAAAAAAAAAAAAAAGAAAGAAAGAGTGACGAAATTACTGGATTTTAATTTTCAAGGATTTTGTCACTGTCAGGGTATGGTATTTCTTCTTTATATAAATGGGTATGGGCATTGAACCGTTTCAAGTTAATTTAATTTTGCATGTTTTCATTGTAAAACAGGAGGCTTTGTTCCCAAACAATGCTATCTGGGAAATGGGTTGATGTCGGAGATGCTCTGTGTTCTCGTGCTTTTGAATCCCCAGCGGCTTTTTCTACTTCTGTACATGATTTTTCTGCTAAAGGTCTTGAATTCCCTCATCAATCTGGTTTGTTTGTCATATATTGCTGATTGTAGCTCGTGTTTGTGATTCTTTAAATCCTTTTTGGTGCAGGAATTTCCAATGCTCGCGTGTTTGCTCCTTATACGGTATACAAGGGAAAAGCAGCATTCTCTGTTTCTCCACTTCTTCCAACTTTCAGTAAGATAGATGTATGCTCAAATTCCTTTCCTAAATATTAGTAAAGTTTTTCTTGCTATCAAATGTTTCTTGCTGAGGACTTAAATGATGCTTTTTCGTTTTGCCTGCTGTTGATAGTCTGGCTCCGCCAGCCTTAAAGTTGATCGTCGTGGTTGCATGATGTTGACTTTCTGGCCTGCTGTTGGTGAGCGCAAGTATGATTGGGAAAAGAGACAGGTGATGTTTTTGAATTGTTACCTCATTAAACTTTTGGTGCATTGTTAAATAAAACCCTAAACCATGTAAATTTTATCTTTCTGCATAGGGAGATTGTACATACTTTTATCAAACTTTAGCTGGACATCCTTTGTTTATGTTACACTTTCTCTCTGCACTTCACCTCCCCATAATATGTTGCTAGGCATACTGATTTTGTTAGCATTTTGCAGAAATTTGCTTTGTCGCCGACAGAGGTTGGGTCTTTGATAAGCATGGGTGCACATGATGGCTCTGAATTCTTCCATGACCCTTCAATGAAATCAAGGTCAGATTTTGCACTCGTTTTTTTTGCCATATTCTTTCAATTGGAACCAACTCTAATTTCTATTAATTTTTCATGGCACATTTGTGTACTTTAGAGAAAAGCAATGGGTTGCTTTATGCAAACCTTTTCCTTCAATTTTTTTTTTTTTTGTTTTAAGTTGGAAAATAATTCATGCTACAGTAATGCCGGTCAAGTAAGCAAGAAGTTATATATTAAGGCACTTGATGGTGGTAATGGCTACATGATTTCTTTGAGTAAGTAATCTATATCTAATTACTTTCTTTATTTTCAACTTTAATATTGCTTTCTCTCAAAGAAACATATTAGTTTTATTGTGGCCTTTTTTTTGTTTAAGAATTTACTTCCATATTATTTGCAACAAAGAGTAGCATTACTGCCTTCAGTTTAGGAATCTTTCATTATCACCAATGATGCTACCCATGGTGAAGAGTTGGTGTTACAATGAAATTAGATTGATTTCGGCAAGATCTCTATCCCTAGTCCACTAAACTATTGTTCTTGGATTGTTTAGTTCATATGACCTGATGTGGCACAATGAGATTTGTCAAATACTTACTGTTAATCCAAGATATTGTAGTGAATCAATTGATCTTCAATGGCAGGCCAAGTCTCTTGATATATTTTTGTTTTGTCATATCATATTTTTTCTTGACTATTTTCTTTTTTTTGGCCTATGTTGGTTTTTCATAGCAGATATTATAACCGAAGCAAGTTGTACATTGTTTCTGATAGACCAACTCTGGGGTAGTTCTTCAGAGATGAAATTTCCCTCTTGGGTGGCTGGGAAGAGGTTCCTAATAAGTGAAGGATGGCAAATATTTGACTGGGGACCATTGGCATTTTAAGTGTTAAGAAATTCCCTAAAATAAAATGGCATGCTGTGGGGTGGGACGAAACATATAGTATAATTGTTCTATTTAAAAAGGACTAGACTATAGGGTTTAACTGGTCAGTCAAGATTGCTCCATATAGTTAACCTATTCTCATAATACCAGACATCAAAGCATGTTTCTTGGAATGCTTAATCACATTGAATTGTTTTTGCCAAAGGAAAGCAAATTAGATAATGGTTGATTTTGTAAAGGTTTGACTGTAGAGTTAGGTTTTTTAGAATAATCTGGGCAGGACAAGCTTAGGAACCAAGTGGGGCATAACCGTGTAGGACAATATTAAGCTTTATTATAGCTTTCTCTAAAATTGCTTGAAGGTATAAGGGTTGATTGACAAAGATTGAAATAAAATTGGTACACATGGGAACAGAAACCTCTGATATGCATGTACATACTTCTAGATCTGGGTGACTGGATACCTCCTATGGAAATTCATGGTATAGAGCAGTTTTGAGATTTCTTGGACCAAATGGCTTTGTCATCCTGGTAATAAGGAAGACGCATGGCTATCTTTTTCAAAAAAAAAAAAAAAAAGAACATGAAAATTTAATCTCTGTTGTCTTTGATGTCATGTTGGTTTGGGTCCTTTTAGATTCACAATTAGTGTTGTTTCAATATTTCAAAATGGGAAAAGAAAATAATATTTCATATTTTAGGGACAATGCCATTGAAATAAAATTGCTGCTTATGCTGGAAAAGGCTAGCCAAAAGCATGTGTAGGTGTTCAGGCATGGTGAAATGTGAAAATGGACCTAGGAACCCCCTAGAAGAGAAACTTAAGCAAGGCCTTTGACTTGAATACCTTTACTAGTGCCTCAAATTTCATTTAGGCAAATCTAGCCACTTAGTTTCATATGATTTTTGCAATTATATGTTAATAATTTTCCTTTAGGCATTCATCACCTGCATATAAGGTTTTTTTTCTTTCTTTCTTGTTTAAGCGTAATGCTACCCTTTTAAAAGTAAATCAATCAATAATGGAAAGTCATTTCAAAAAATAAATAAGTAGATAAATAGCGGAAAGAGTGGTAGATTATTTTCTCCTAAGATATGTGTGCAATGCGTTGTTACACCTTTTGAAGTAATAAGAGACTTCATGTTGGAAGTGTAGAACAAATCATATGTTTTTTCATTTTCATCTTTTCCCCAATAGTATGTTTTCTCAATTTTAAGCTACTATTATTTGTTTATTTCTGAACAAGGCAATTTACAATAACATATGGTAACTAGTATTCAACTTTTTTTTTTTTTTTGTTGTCCGGGTGTTCTTTGTAAGTTTTAACCTTTTCTGTAATTTCTTTGCAGCTGTTACCAACAACATTCTAAAATCAAATGAGCGCTTTAACGTACCTCTTACAACAGCTGAATTTGCAGTCTTGAAGACAGCATGCAGTGTATGACATGATAACTAACTCAAAACTTTATTGCTACCTCCATGATTTAACTGGACTTCTTATCCTATTATTGGAAATAAATATTGTGGATATCTGTGCGAGATTAGATTGGTAATCACTAATTTACCTTATTAACTATGTCAGGAATCAGGACTAGAATCACTTTTCAAAATTCTGAAAATGTATAAAGCAAATACACTTTTGATCTTACACATGCAAATGTGCACGCACACAGATATAGGTCAGAAAACCACTAATGCTTTACATCTTTTGCAGCATATATTTTTAATGTGATATTGATCACCTCATAGAATACTAATCTTGTCATTAAATGCTAGACATGGCATTTAAGAGCTGTGGTACTTACACAGCCCTTAAAGTAGTTTAATAGGTTCCTTTATTTGATAGTTAACGGGACATACTTTTGTTTTTTGAGATAACGTTAACACTATTGTATTGCCAAAGATAGAATGAACGTATGACAAGTTGATTTGTTAGATTGCTCTTTATTTCATGATATGTGAACTCTGAATTTCGTTCAGACTGAAATATTATACTGGTGATGATAACAAATTACGAAAACCCTCTTTGAGCTGATCATAAGTTGATTAATGATAAGCCTTTCGTTTTTTGCCAGCATTTTTGAGTTGACTTGTAGTTTCCTTGCTATGTGGTTATCAAAACGAATAACTTTTGCCATGAATTACTTTGCGAATGCCATATTTAGTTTTGTCAATGTCAGCATAAAATTGTTCATTGTTTTGGTGTTGCACAGTTTGCATTGCCCCACATCATTGGCTGGGATTGGTTGATCAATCAGTCGCGTAATGACATGGCGGGGAGTCCTTCAAAGGTGAATCCGCAGCTTTTGGATTTGGAGTGGGATAAATGAAATGAAAATCTAAGTAGAAAGCTTTTTGCATTGCCTGCTCTGCTTCCTCAGAGTTTGCAAATATGGACTTGCTGAACACCGTACCTTATTCTGCTTTTGTTAGTTCAAATCTCTACTTTTATTTTACTTGTCATGACAGGTTTGGGCAATGCTATTTTCTTTTACAGATTTACCCCTACTTTCGTGCATGAATTAGATTTGATATGCATATTGCACTTTTTTTTCCCATATTTTATCTTTTTTTTTTTTTCTTTTTAGGAAAATCAGTTTTTAACTTTGAAGAGTAAGAGAAAATTTCTTTAACATCGTGTTTGGAAGGAAGGAAAAAGTTCTTTCCACGCTTGCTTACATTTGGTAGGAAGGAAATAAGAAGAGGGATGGAAAATGAGTGAATTTGCGCCTTTGTTTTCCCTCCAAATTCAATTCTTCAAATGAGGGTGGGGGGAAAATTTTGAATGACAAGGGCGGAGGTCTATCATCCTTAATAGCTCGTAAATGCTCTTTAAGAGGTTTTGAATGACAAAAGAGAAAGAGATAAAGCATGAGAAACATTAAACACAGCGGCATTAAAAGATATGCACTCTACATAAATGAAAACCAAGTTAAAAAATAATTTAGTTTTTATTATTGATGAAAGATATGGAATCGAAAATGAAGAAAAGAAATGGAAGATTATTATTGATGAAACACTTGAAATCGAAAATGAATAAAAAAAAAAAAAGTAATTATGAAAACCACTAATTTTTAACGCCATTTTCATAATGTCCTCCGACCTTTCCCTAGGGTGACCTAGAATGACGACGTTTCCTCTCTTGGGACAAGATTAAAATTTCTTCATGCAAATTTGGCCACAAGAAATTATTGCAAAAATACGTTTGCATGTTTCCAAGTTAGCATTTTTTTAAATGATAAAGTTTTCTTCACGGTTATGTCACATCCCCAATTAATTTGTCATTACAAATCAAAGATATTAAAATCGACAAATTAAAGGTAAGAAATTTTTTTTAATTAACCCAAGTGCAAATGCATGCATGTGTCACACCCTGAGTAGGTGCATCAGGAGCTGAGGCCCAAGCATTTGCGGTCAAGACTTAAGCATCAGGGACAGTGGTGGAGTTGGTGCAATAAGCATGGGAGAAGTGTCCAAATTGCCCACACAGTCACGATTAAGCCCCGTAACATGCTCGCATCGCACCCAGGTGGATCCAGGGGAGCCTAGTCAATCTAGAATCTTCTAAAGGCATCCAAGATCGGTAGCATTCAATAAAAAGATCTGGTCAACCATAAGAATAAGGAAGGATCCTAAGAATTATGGTGTAATATGTGTATTGATATGTAATCTCTTATTTTTAAGAATTTTATAAATTCTTTGATTTTAGGAGATAGCTATAATTAGAGCTGAGGGCCTCAACTATAAACAAAGGATTGTCCCACCTCAGTTATACATCATCACATCATTAGAGATACTATTCTTCAGTAATACACTGTATATTCAAACATTCTCTGTGTTCTCTTTAACTTGTATATTCTGCTTTTTCAATTGTTTGTTTGCCAACACGCTTGGTTCATAGGCTAACTTAGACCTAAGAAACACATTTTTAGTCTAAGGCTGCACGGATTTTGAGTTAGAGATTGAAGCTTGTGACAGTTGGTATCAAAGCGGGTTTCGTGCAGATTCTGTTCGGTGGTATTCAGATCACACTCAAGGCGTTCACGGAAATGGCATCTCAATTGATGTTGCTAGCCAACAACCAGAAGCCAAGGAGCAAGGTCGCGAAAGGGGCAAGAAAGATAGTTTAAGAGACATCTGGTCTATCCTAGATGGGTGTGTGGCCAAGATGTAAAGGAAAAGCTTGACGAGGTAGATGCTCACTTTGAGGCATTAGACTCTATAGAAGAGAAGCTCAAAAGGGAGTTACAAGTGGTTTTGAATGAGGGAATCGACATGATCACCCAGCGGAATGCAACCTTTGAGGTTCAGATAGAGATCATGCGCAAGGAGATGGAGGAGCTCAAGCGGGAGCTCACTGCTTGCAAGATAGCCATGGGGAATGGCATGATTGCAGGAGTGTCTAAGACCCATATAGAGATTCTCAAGCCCAAAGAGTTCAAAGGGACTAGGGCGGTCAAAGAAGTAGACAACTATCTACGAGGGATGGAGCAGTATACCATGAAGTTACAAAGGTTGTACCTGTAAACCAACCCCCTAAAGCGAAATAGGCACAAGGAAAGAGCAATAGGCCGGACCAACCTACAAAAACGAAACGGTCCCTACGTAACCAGTCATCCATAATATCAAATAAATCATTTTCATCTTTGGTAAATTTACCAAGGGCTATAGTCATAGCAATCCTCCTATTCAACACATCTACAAAAACTTCATATAGGAATCCACAAAGAAACGATCCAATTGATCAAGATGCACAATGAGGATCGTATCCATACGATTTTGCACTTCTCGACAAATCTAATATTTTTTGTTATTCTAAGTGGTTATTCTATTTTGGGTAATGAAGAACTTGTTATTCTTAACTCTTAGGTTCAAGAATTCTTATATAATTTAAGCAACACAATAAAAGCTTTTTCTATTCTTTTATTAACCGAGTTTTGTGTCGGATTCCATTCACACCACGATTGGGAACTAATGATTGGCTATATCTACAAAGATTATAGGGCATACACGAACACATACTTCACAAGCAATGCATTTATCAAATTCAAAATGGGTTCGCCCACGGAAACGCTCTGATGCGATTAATTTTTCATAAGGGTATTGAATAGTTATAGGTAAACGATTTGTGTGGGATAAGGTAATCATGAAACCTTGACCAATGTACCTTGCTGCTCGGATTGTTTGGTGGCCATAATTATGAACCCAGTTACCATAGGGAACATATCGTGAATATCTATGAATAATTTTATGTTTGTTTCTTTCTCTTGTTTGAACCAAGTCATGAATCTCGTATTCCTTTTTCCTTTACAGTGAAAGAAGTTGTTAATTTAATCCAAATTAAAGTTTGAAACTCATGTAATTAACCTCTTTTGGTTAACCCGAGACAAATCGATAGGATCTATGAGAAATCTCATTCAATTGGATATATGGTAGGGTAAAAAAATGGGACACCAAAAGAATTGACTGCCGAGCCGTATGAGGTAGGAAACTCTCAAGTACGGTTCTAAGGGAAGGAATTGACCCGCCTATTCCGACCGGGGAGAACAGGCCATTCGACAGGGGGATTCTGAAATAGCGGAGGCTTGGTTCGATCAAGCCGCTGAGTATTGGAAACAGGCTATAGCGCTTACTCCTGGTAATTATATTGAAGCGCAGAATTGGTTAAAGATCACGAGGCGTTTCGAATAAGCAACTCACGTAATCGTTGACCTCTTGCCAATCGATTCTGAGTAGCTTTATCGAGATCAGAAGCAAATTGCGCAAAGGCTTCTAATTCGGTTAATTGGGCCAATTCCAATTTTGATTTACCAGCGACTTGTTTCATAGCTTTAATTTGAGCCGCAGATCCTACTCTGGAGACGGAAATCCCCACATTAATAGCAGGTCTGATTCCAGCATTGAATAGATCGGCGGATAAGAATATTTGTCCATCTGTAATGGAAATCACATTAGTAGGAATATATCTGAAAAATTCGTGGGAAGGGTCATTTTTTGATCCAGAATAGATAGATTTAAGAAATAAGAGAATTAAGGATACCCACTAGAAAAACTAATCCAATCCATAAAGATGTACCGGAAAATACAATATTTTTGTTACTCAACCAACCATCAGGAGAAGCAAATACAACAGGTACACTAATCAGTAAGATTGACGAAGTAGCAATTAATGCAAAAACAGCCAATTGGAAAGCAGGCATACAGGACAATGCCACTAAGGTAAGCATTGCTTCAATGTATCTTACTATTGTTGCCTTATTATGGTGGAAACGCAGATGTGATGATGTCAAGCATGGAGGTGCCTTGATTGGAATGTGGGAGGAGTTCCAAAAGGAATTTAGAAAGCAATTCTACCCGAAGTACACTAATGATGGCGCGGGCGAAGTTATGTCGACTTACTCACCGAGGGGACATAAAGGAGTATGTCCAAAAGTTCTCTGAATTAATGCTTCAGATTTCAGATCTAAGCGAGACCGAAAGTTTGCTTATCTTCATGGATGGACTCAAGTCGTGGGTGAAGCACGAGCTACAAAAGAAGGGAGTTCGTGAACTGATCAAGGCCATGACCACTGCTGAGTCCTTGCTGGAGTTCAAGCCGACAGAACAAATCAAAGTCTACCAAGTCTGTAAATACTCTTTAAAAGGTTTTGAATGACAAAGGAGAAAGGGATAAAGCATTAGAAACATTGAACACAGTCGCAATAAAAGATATGCACTATACATAAATGACTGCTTAGTTTAAAAATAATTTAGTTTTTATTATTGATGAAAGATATGGAATCGAAAATGAAGAAAAGAAATGGAAGATTATTATTGATGAAACACTTGAAATCGATAATGAATAAAAAAAAAAAAGTAATTATGAAAACCACTAATTTTTAACGCCATTTTCATAATGTCCTCCGACCTTTCCTTAGGGTGACCTAGAATGACGATGTTTCCTCTCTTGGGACAAGATTAAAATTTCTTCATGCAAATTTGGCCACAAGAAATTATTGCAAAAATACGTTTGCATGTTTCCAAGTTAGAATTTTTTTAAGTGATAAAGTTTTCTTCATGGCTACTTCAATGGAAGACATCCCCAATTGATTTGTCGTTACAAATCATAGATATTAAAATCGGCAAATTAAAGCTAAGAAATTTTTTTTAATTAACATAAGTGCAAATGCATGCATGTACATACCTGAAGAGTGGAGAAGAGTAAATGACCATCCTAATGGAAATGTTGTTCACAAATGAAAAGGAACAGGCATGGAGAAAAGGGCACAAACTTTTTAAGTACCTTCTTATATGTCAATAGAAAAAACTATTAACACAGACAAAGGAAAAACTATTAACATAAATATCTACATAAGTAATCTTTATCAGATAACTTTATAATATAATGGGATAAATACAAATTTATCCTTTATATTATACAGGTATTCACAGAAAAATTCAACAAAACTATAAAAAAAAAGAAAATTTTAATAAAAATAATATTTCTTAAAAATAAAAAATTCCCAAAAATTTAAAAAAGTGAAAACTTAAAAAAATCTAAATCTCTTTAAAAATATGAAAATGAA